GCCCCCCCTTACCGCAGCCCCGCCCGCGGAGGCCCCGTCCCCCTTCTCCAGACGCGGCCCCAGCGGCTCCCGGGACCCCCGGCGCTCACGCAGGCGGCCGCTCCTTCGTGGTCTGGTGACAAGTCGCCGGCCAGGGCGCTGCGGCTTCGTCCTGCAGCCGGCCTGCGGCTCCCGCCGAAGAAAGACCCCAGACCCGCCCAGGTCGGCCGGGCTGCCCCCCACCCCGAGGGCGCAGGGGCCAGGTCCCCAGGGCGCGGGCCCGCTGTCAGGACGGGAGGGGCCGCCCTGGCCGCGCCGAGGCCCCCGCCTGGCTGGCTAGAGCCGTGTTGGCTGATGTGGGGCGAGCCTCGCTCCCGGCCGCGCTGTGGCTTCCTCCCGGGGCCGCTGACCAGCGCTGGCAGGTGGGGTGCGAGACGCCGCCTCCCAGGTTGGCCGGCTGCTCAGGAGGACAGGCGAGCTGGGGTGCAAGGGGGCGCCCCGGGACCCAGGCGGGGCTGGCCGCCGCCTCCCCACGCCCGAGGGCCCAGGCTCTGCAGCGGAGCCCACGAGTCTGCGTTTTACAAGCAGCCAGGAGAGCACCCCAAGGATTGGGGGGCTCGGCCCTGGGTGGTCAGGCTCACCCGAGTGAAAAGCCTCCATAGAGGGGGCAGGTCGTGTGTGCCCTGGAGGGGGACCCCACATCGTTCCCGTTCACCTTCTCGGACCCCCCTTCCTAAGGAGCTAGCCTCTCACCAGCTTCCCCGTTGCCTCAAAATGACTGCAGCACAGAAACACCTGAATGCTCGTGAAAAAGGCCAAGCTCCCTGCCACACCCCACTTAGGTAGAAACTTGGGGCATTGAGTCCAGAAATCCTATTTTTAGGAGTCCAGCTGATTTTTGCCTGTTAATGTTTTGCTAGCCCGAGGGTTGGGTGGGTTGGGCTGGAGCTGGGAGAGGCTGGGCACCTTTTACTAGACGACCTGTTTTTGTGTTCCCTGGGCCTCACCTGAGGACAGCCAGTTTGTGGGAGTCAGGCCCCACCTCCGGGTGGGCAAGGAGCTGCTCTGGGCCTCCTGAACTACCCTTTCACCCGAATCGAAGCCCGTTCTGTCCCCACTGGTGCTCTTCTGGGCACACCCCACGGGCCACATGCCTCTCAGCCCTTGCCTGGGCTGGCTCCCACCGTGGCTAGGTCCTGTGACACAGACTTGCAGCCCTCGTCCTCAGCTCTTCTCCCCTTGCTGCTGGCTTGTCCAGCGAACTCGTTAGGAGGGCAGCACTGGGGCTCAGGATAACCACCACGCAGCTAGCGTTCACTGAGCATCAGCTGTGTAGCCACACTCTCCCCCCTCCCCACACTCAAGTGCCCGGGCTTTGGATGCAGTGGGATCCTTCTTGCTGCAGGTAAACGGCCGTGTTACGTAGGTTTTTTACAGCTGGGTTACAGTTGCACGTGGGCTTTGCACAGCTGGGTTACAGTTGCAAGCAGGCTTTGCACAGCTGGGTTACATTGTTATTCCTCTCCCCTCTTGGATGAAGACTTTAGACATGCTCTTTTTTGTATGGCTTCCATTTCGCCTTGGTGTGACAAGGGGCTTGTGCAAGCTTTCAGTTTGAAACCCCAAGTGAGAATTTATAATGTATAAACTCATTAATGGTGGTGCCAGCTCCGGGAGTTGGATGGCCAATGATATTTGCAAGAAGGTCTTGGTGGCTCCCCTTTCGAATAACGCTTTCCTATTTGCAGAATCATCTAGTGTGCTGTGAGGTATATCCAGATAATGGAACCTGTTCCTGTGTAGAGGAAATAGTCGCTTATGTACAGCTTTTGGGTAGTTGCCACTGTCAGTGGTGAACCCTAATTGAGCTGCAGTCTTTTCCCTCCTCTGCAGCAGGAGTCTTGCTTGCACGGTATCTGTGCACACTTCAGGCCTCTCCAGCAGGCAGGCCTGGCTCTGGTTTGGGCTCTCTGGCTGAGTCTTGTAGTTGTCTCACCAGGACAGAGAGCCTTTCCAGCTGCGAATGTTGTGGAAGCAGCCTGTGCCTGCAGCCTGCACGTGGCGACAGTGAAGCCCCTGTCGGTGTGGAGTGCTGAGGGAGCTTGTGTTTGGACATGGCTCTCAGCATTGTTGCATCACTTGAGATGCATTTGAGAATTTGGACAAGTTCCCAAACTCATTCTCCTGTAATTTGGCATGTTAGTTTCCTGACAAGCCTTTGGTTGGTGTTTTTAATGGATAAGGGCTCTTTGAAGAAAATTGCATTTTGTTTGCTTGAACAGTGCTCATTCCTATAGACCTCTAGGTAGCAGAATAGGAAGCATCCTTGAAGGTGGGGGCCTTTGATTACAGCTGTGAAAGGGGCCAGAGCAGGGAGTGTTAGCACAGCATGTGAAAAGCATTCACACGGAGTTAGGTTAATAGTTGGGTTCCTCAGTTTGGAACAGTGTGCCTGCTGCAGGGCTCAGTAATGTGGTCCAATGTTTTGTCCTTTTTCCTGGAAATTAATTTTCAAAATATGGTTTGCTTATTGGCCTAGGTTCCCCCACTATAGATTTCGATTAGCAGACGGCTCTTCCCACTGCGAGTCTTCCATTTGGAGCAGTGAACCTCTCTGTCCGCGTCTCCCTGCCCGGTGGGCCTGAGAGCCATGGCAACGGAGGAGAAGAAGCCGGAGACGGAGGCTGCCAGAGCGCAGCCCACCCCCTCATCATCGGCCACGCAGAGCAAGGCACGTCACCGAGGGCTCCTGGGGAACTGCGAGGGCACACAGGCTGGGAGGTCTTGGACGCATCGTTTCCCGCCCCTAAGTGTCTTCTCCCCGCCTCAGTCAGACAGCGCCAGTTTTTATTCATTGACCACACACCAAACCAGTGTTTATTGTGTGCTGTGTCGGGGTTTCCCAGGCCTGTCCCCTGGGGAGGGGCTTTAGCACCACATAGCTCCTTAGTCCTAGTTGTAAGAGTCACTGTAGGACCCAGAGAACGGGTTACGAAGCACCCCCACCCTGGCCCGCAGTTCTGACGCCCAGGCAGGTTTGCAGACCCTCCTGTAGAGAGTGGGCAGCAAACAAGACCTTTCACCCAGGGAAAGCCTTCAGGTTTGCGGGGGCTGACCCCGGGCTGTCATGGGTGGGACGTCAGTGTCATGGTGCTTCCCATGGCAGTGGGGTGGGGATTAGGGTGGTGGAGCCCAGCCACTGAGGTGGGGGCTGCAGGACAAGCAGGGTTGAGGGCAGATAATGAGCTCCGATTTAGACATGTTCAATTTGAAAGGTGGCATCCAGACAGAGAGTTCTAGGAGGCAGGTGGAGGACGGATTTGGAGCTCCACGGGTAGGTCTGAGCTGGAGGTGAAGCTTTGGGAACCAAAGTGGGCCTGGTGGTCAGTCGAGTTGGTCGGGGGTGGTTACCTTGGCTGACTGGTACCGTCTCTCCAACAGCCTACACCCGTCAAGCCAAACTATGCTCTGAAATTCACCTTGGCCGGCCACACGAAAGCTGTGTCCTCCGTGAAATTCAGCCCAAATGGGGAGTGGCTGGCAAGTTCGTGTAGGTATCAGTGGGGCCTCAGCTGCGGGAGAGGCTGGCTTGAGCTGCAGGCGAGACGCCCAGGACTTGGTGGGGGCGGGGTGTGTGTGCTCTCTACACCCAGCTGGGTTGGTGCGGCAAGCATGTGTGGCAGCTTACGTGTGGGACTAGAAGCTGTGCCCGGTGCCGCTCTGAAGTGGCAGGGTCGGGG